CCCAGGTTTGGAGTTTTATTTTGTATATACTGAATGATGAAAGAGAGAGCTAATTTAATTTGTTCCAAGTGGAAAGTCCATTGCCCTCAAATTTATGTTAGTTATTGCTCTTCCTTTACTCTGCCGTTTAAATTTTTATTGAATAAATTTTTAAATCAGTTTCTCAAAATCCCTGAAAAAGGGATTCTGATTGGAATTGCTCTGAATTTATAAATTGACTTGAGGAAAACTGAAGTCCTCACAATGTTGAGCTTTCCCCTTCGTGAACAAGCTGAAGCTTTCTTTCCATTTTGGGGGGAACTTCCTGTGTGTCCATGCCTGGGTGCGGCCAGCCAGGGAAGGGCCACACTGTTTTGCAAAGTGGCTGTGTCGTTTTGCATTTCCATCAGCAGTGGAAGAGAGTTCCTGTTGCTCCAGCGTTTGGTATCGTCAGTGTTCCGGGTTTTAGCTATTCTGATAGGTGGCGTCCCCTTGTTTTAATTTGCATCTCCCTGATGACATATCTTGTGGTGCCTCTTTTCATATGCCTGTTTCCCATCTGTGTATCTTGATGAAGTGTCGATCGGATTCTTTTCTTACTGAGTTTTAAGAGTTTTTTGTATATTTTATTTTATTTTTTTATAGACCAGGGTCTCGCTCTGTTGCCCAGGCTGGAGCCCAGTGGTGTGGTCATAGCTCCCTGTGACCTCCAACTCCTGGCCTCAAGCAATCCTCCCACCTCAGCCTCCCGAGTAGCTGGGACTACAGGCACATGCACCACCACACACAGCTAATTGTTTTTTTATTTTTTGTAGACAGAAGGTCTCGCTATGTTGCCAAGGCTGATCTTAAACTCCTGACCTCAAACTGTCCTCCCACCCCAGCCTCCCAAAGTGCTGGGATTATAGGCATGAGCCACTATGCCTGGCTTTGTATATTTTAGATAAAATATGTCTTTTGCAAATATTTTCTCCCAGTCTATGGCTTGTCTTTTCATTCTCTTGACAGTGTCTTTCACAGAGCAGAAATTTTTAATTTTAATGAACACCAGCTTATCAATTCTTTCCCTTTTTTGGTAATAAAATTGACTTTTAATCCATTCATTTGATACTATATACATTTTGAGGCTATGTTGGGTTCCATGGCTATGTTGGAACCCTCTGTGTTTATGATGATATATCTTTGTTACTGTTTCTTTTACCTCTTTATAATGCATATAACACCTTTGTGTTTTATATGTTTGTCCCGGATTATATTTTGTCAGTTATTAAGACTGTTAACCAACTTCC